CTGCACACACATGTGTCCAGTTTGTTATTCAGGCCACCAGGGCTGGGATTCAAACTGCCTGGTCAGCCAGCCATGTGGGAATTGACTCCCATAGTCAGTAGGCCACGAGCCTGACCTTGACTCTAATTAAGAGAAAATAATTGGAGTCACTATTGCATTTGTCCTGTTGTGTATATATATATATATATATTTTTTTTTTTTTTAACTTATTAAGAAAACTTTCCTCCTGACTTTTTGCAATCTTCGAAAAGATTGGTTTTGCTGGTCTTATTTCTTCATAATGATGTCTTCACTTTTAACCTATGTTCTCTTGTTGAATTTAATTAGTGCTAGTTTGCTTCTCTGTGCAAGAGATGTGAAAATACATTACTCAAACTAGTAGACTTTTCTGTTAAGTGTAACAAATTGTCGTGAGTTACGACTTTAGCACCCTTCTGGTAGTAAAGTACACAGAGTTAGAGCTTTGGTATTCATGCTTTTGTGATAGTGGTAAGCGGAAGCATGTACGTGGCATGTTAACCTGTTTGGCCTTGGACATGTAATTGGTATTAGGAGTCACATTAGTGGGAGTGGAGAGGGTGTGGAGTTTGGAATTAAGGTTTGCTTTTGAATTCCACTTCTACCATTGCCTCCTAGCTTTGTGACCTGTACATGATCTCATCTGTGTAGATCTATAGCGTTATCTGCAAATTGCGGGTGATAGCGTGTTTCCACAGTGTAGTTGTAACAAAGACTAAATGGCATGTGCATATTGCCTTATTTCAGTGAACTTAATGTACTCCCTACCTTTTCTTTTTTTAAATTAAACATATAACATGATGAATTATAAAATTTATTGGTTAAAATTTGCATTCATTATGTTTTTTTTCCCCTAAGGTTCTGGCCACCGCGTTTGACCCAACACTGGGAGGCAGAAAATTTGATGAGGTGTTAGTGAATCACTTCTGTGAAGAGTTTGGGAAGAAATACAAGCTAGACATAAAGTCCAAAATTCGTGCATTATTACGACTCTCTCAGGAGTGTGAGAAACTCAAGAAATTGATGAGTGCGAATGCTTCAGACCTCCCTTTGAGCATTGAATGTTTTATGAATGATGTCGATGTATCTGGAACCATGAATAGGTAACCATATTAATATTTTGATATTAATGTGAATTATCATCATTCTTCACTTAAACTAACCTCAAGTCGTCATGATTGTATGGTGACATCTGTTTTATGAGTGAAAATTAGAGGCCATTTAAGATTCCACTTTTTCTGAAAAGGTTGGACTTGGTTATTCTCCTAAGGATGTCTATTCTGATTACCAGTATTTGGGGAAGTTGGTAATTCTTTACATGTATGTGTTATATATGAGTTATATCAATTTTTATACAATTAGGAGAAAATGTTTAATGTGTTACTAAATTGAATTTAGCCATTGATTAAGAAATTCTAGTTTTTGAGTGTTTCAGGATCACTTGAGGGCAACAGCTCCTTTTCTGAAAAACCATTTTATTGGGACCAGCAGTTGGCGTAATGGCTATGTCACTGGACTTCCATGTAGTCGACCGTGGTTTGAGTCCCAGACCTGGTGGCTTAAACTCATGCCGGGTGCGTGTGCATGCGTGCCCAAGATCCTGAGAGGAGAATGGAGGAGAAGGGATTGAGGCGTGGCCATCCTCCCTGGGCCGCTTTCTATCTCTGTCTCTTTTTGTCTTTCTGATGAGTGCACACACCCTATATATAGCAAAACCCTCTTAAATAAACAAAATTATTTTATTTACTTTTATTCATCATTGTTATTATTATTTTAATTCGACCAGAGAGAAACAAGAGACAGAGAGAGGGAAAGTGGGAAAGTAAGCCACCAGGTCCAGGCCTTGAACCACAACTGGCCATGTGGTCCTGCGAAAGTCTTATTACAATCTTTAACATAGGTTAATTTTCCTCTTATTGAGAGAAATATAATAATTGTTTAGTATTCAGGGAAGGGAATATATATAAGTATTATATATACACACACACATATATATATTTATACATACGCATATGTATATGCGTATGTATAAATATATATGTGTGTGTGTGTATATATAAATAAATAAATATTTTTTCTCACCACCCTCTTCTGTACTGTCATGTTTTTTTTTTAAGATAAATTTATTTAATTCCATTTGTTATTATTTTAAATTTATTTATTTGTTTTAATTTGACCTGATAGAGACAGAAAGAGGGAGGAAGGGAGGGGGGCAGAGAGAGAGGGAGAGAGAGAGAGAGAGAGGGAGGGAGGAAGCAGCTAGGTCCAGGCCTTTGACCGCAGTCGGCCATGTGGGAGTCCAGCACCCTTAACCATCATGCCATCTGCCGGCCCCATATTACTGTTTTTTAATTTGACCAGACAGAGGCAGAGAAAGGAATGCAAGATAGCAAGCCATCAAACCGTGGTCAGTCGTGGGAATCCAGTGCCCTTAACCGCTATGCCACCTTCTAGTCCCTAGGTTTTAAGTTTTTAATTGACACATAATAGCCACATAGCTATGAGTTATAGTGTGGTTTTTAGAACTCCTTATAAATGGAATGATGATGTGGGCCAGCTGTTGGTGTGGTGGCTAAGGTGGCTGGTTCCTGCATTTTCCCCCTGCTGTTAGAGTCTGCAAACCAGCTGCTTGAAAAACCTGTGTGTGCCCCAAATCCTGAGAGCAGTGGAAGAGAAGAACTGTGGTGTGGCCATCCCCCATGGGGGTTGATTTCTCACTTTCCCTCTCTGTCACTCCCTGTAGCAAATTTTGAAAAACAAAACAAAGGAATCATAAAAGGCCCAGTCTTATAATGCAGTGTTTAAGCGTATAATGCAGTTGTTAAACGTGGTGCATCTGGGATCCAGCCACCTTAACCTCCACCCCCTCTGCTGACCCACCTTCCCCTTTTTGTTCTTGTTTTAAAATTTGCTAGAGGGTGTGTTTGCTTACCTGAAAGGGAGGGAGGCCAAGAAGGAAGGGGAGAGAGAAAGAGAAAAGACTCACTCGTGCTTAGGGGAATGGTCATGCTACAGTTTTCTCTCTATCTCTCCTTTCAGGATTTTGGGCAGGTACACACGCCTGCCAGGTTTTTCAAGAGGCTTTTTAAAATTTATTTATTCTTTTTCTGGAGAGGTTTTTGCTGTAGGGCGCGTGCGCTTGCCACAAATACAGAGAGAGACAGACAGAAAGCGAGAAATCACCCCCCAGTGGGGTGGACACGTTGCAATCCCTTTTCCATTTTCCTCTTGGGATCTTGGGCACGCACGCACCTAGCATGAGTTTAACCCACTGGGTCTGAGACTCAAACCGTGGTTGACTACATGGGAGTCCAGCGACATAGCCATTATGCTAACTGCTGGTCCCAAGAGGCTGGTTTTAAGACTCTGTGTGTATTTCAAGCCACCAGGTCTGAGACTAAATCCACAAACAGCCATGTGTGACCCAGCCGCCTTAATCACCACGTCACTGGCTGGCTCATCATCTTCCCCTTGCGCTCTTTCTTCCTCTTACCTGGCAATTAAAAAAAGAAAAAACCAGTCATATAGTTTATGGTCTTTTGTTTGAGGCTTCTTTCACTCAGCATAAAATTTTTTAGATTTCATTTAGTTGCGTATATCATTTTGTCTTTTGACTGGTATGCCATTGAAGTTTATTGTTTTCTCATATATTTCTTTTCATTGCCAGAGAGCACGTTTTGAGAGAGAGCAGAGATAGCACCCCAGTCGGGCATGGTCGTGCCACAGTCTCATGTCCTCCATTTCTGTATCCTGTCCGACTTTTAGGTTTGCATGGATGCTTTTCAAGCAGTCAGCCATATAGGATCTGACTTTCTAGAAACAGCTGCAATAGGATGGAAGACATCGGCTGGTTTTTTTTTTTTTTTTTAAGTTGTTAGGAATAAAACTCACTTTATGTTTTGTTTTGTTTTGTTTTGTTTTGTTTTTGGAGAGGTTTTTGCTATAGGGCGCGTTTGCTCGTCAGACAGAGAGATAGAAAGCGAGAAATCACCCCCCAGAGAGGATGGTCACGCCGTGCTCTCTTCTCCTCCGTTCTCCTCTTGGGATCTTGGGCACTCATGCACACGTGCCCGGCGTGAGTTTTAAGCCACCGGGTCCGGGACACGAACCGCGGTTGACTACGTGGGAGTCCAGCGACATAAACATTACGCTAACTGCTGGTCCTGGAATAAAACTCACTTTAAACTCATAACATGTAGGAGCTGTGGTTGTTGTGCCATATCCTCACCAGTATTGGTAATAGCAGTCATTAATTTTTGCCATTCTGGTTGACGTATTTACACCTTTACCGTTCATTTATTTTTAAGAATTATATATTTAATTTATTGATTCATTTATTTTTTAATTTGACCAGAGACAGAGAGAGGGAAGTGAGAAAGTAAGCTACCAGGTCTGGGACTTGAACATGGTTGGCCATTTGGGACTGTCCAGCACCTTAACCACAATGCTACTTGACTGGTCTCCTAATGTTCTTTTTATTGAGATGTAACTCCTTTAAGTCACCCTTTAAAAAAAAAGAATTATCTTATTTAATTTTATTTATTTTAATTTGACCAGAGAGAGACAGAGAGAAAGTGAGAAAGCAAGACACCAGGACTGGGACTCCAACCGCGGTTAGCCATGTAGGAGTCCAGCACCCTTAACTACCATGCTACCTACCAGTCCCTAAAGTCACCCTTTTTAAGTATATAATTCATCAATTTTTTTTAATTCACAAAACCATACAGCCATCACCACAACCCAGTTTTAGAGCATTTTTTCACAGTTACATAATGAAATTATTTATTTATTTTCCTAAAGGGAACTTTTTGCTACAGGGTGCGTGTGCTTGCTAGAGACTCAAAAAGTGAGATCCCCCTTCCCCCTCCCCTGTGGGGGGGATGGCCATGCCACAATCCCTTTTCCATTCTTCTCTTGGGATTTTGGGCACTCATGCACACACATCTGGTATGTGCTTCAAACCGTTGGGTCTGGTACTCGAACGTGGTCAGCCATGTGGGAGTCCAGCAGTGTAACCATTATGTCATTTGCTTGTCCCCCATAATAAAATCTTAAATGAGCCCTTGGACTGAAAAAAAACAGCAAGACCTTAAAATTATATTGCTAAGTGAACGAAGCTAATCTGAAAATTCTTCTTACTGTATAATCGATTCTGCGTCTCTGATGTTTGGAAGAGAAAATTAGAGAGAGAGAAGGATCAGTGGTTGCTAGGGGCTGAGGGGAGAGAGCGCTCAGTAGGTCAGAGCACAGGGATGTTTTTTTCTTTTTTGATTGGGTTCTTTGTCTTGTAATGTTATCAAAGTTTGTGTCATTTTTTAAGCTGCTAGGGCCAGGAATTGAATCACACGGTTGGTCATCTGGGATCCCTTAACCACAGGCCCTGGGTATAGCCTAGCTTCTTTTTGTCTTTATCTTGCACCTAGAGTACACTCCTATCCCCAAGTAAGATTTTGATAAGTGTCCAGGGAAATACGTTTCTCTAAGAAACTTAATTCCGTTTGTAGTTTTATTTATTACTTTAATTGCTGAATACATTTGGTAGACAGTGGGATTGTTTTTACTTTTTGGCTATGTGAATAATGTTGCTGGTTGTGAACATTCATCTATAGGTTTTTGCGTGAATACATGTTTTCAGTTTTTTTCCAGTGGAATTGCTGAGTCAGTCACATGATAACTTTAACATTTTGAGAAATTTGTCCAAAATGGCTACACCATTTACATTTCACTTTATCTAGGAACGTATGAGGGATGCAATTTCTCCACATCTTTCCCAACACTCGTTACCTGGGTTTCAAATGTAGCCATCCATCCAGCATAAAAGTGGAGTGTGATTTATCCTGTTGTTTTTGTTTTTTTAATAGAGGCAAATTTTTGGAGATGTGTGATGATCTGTTAGCTAGAGTGGAGCCACCACTTCGTAGTGTTTTGGAACAAGCCAGTAAGTATTTTTGTGATTGAATTGTTTGTACCGCAGTTTATAATTTTTTACAAGCACTTCTACAAACTTTCACTGTGTAAACTACTTCAATGCTATATTAAATGGCTTCTTATCTTTTTTTTAATTTGCCAGAGGAAGCGTGCACATGCCAGAGAGAGACAGAGATGGAGAGGGGGAGAGAGAGAAAGCACCTCTGATGGGGCATGGACACATCACAGCCCCCTCTCCATTTTTCCATCCCGTTGGGATTTTGGCACACGTGGACATGCACCTAGAGTGTTTTTTAAGCTGCTGGGTCCAAGAATTGAATCACACGGTTGGCCATTTGGGATCCCTTAACCACAGGCCCTGGGTATAGCCTAGCTTCTTTTTGTCTTTATCTTGCACCTAGAGTACACTCTTATCCCCAAGTAAGATTTTGATAAGTGTCCAGGGAAATACGTTTCTCTAAGAAATTTAAATTCAGGGGCTAGCAGATGGCATAGTGGTTATGTCGTTAGACTTCTACATGGCCTACTGTGGTTCGAGTCTACCCAGTGGCTTGAGACTCATGCTGGGCGCTTGTGTGTGCATGCCCAAGATCCTAGGAGGAGAAGAGACTGCGGCGTGGCCATCCCCCGGGAGATGATTTTTCACGTTCCCTTTTGCCATCTTTGTCTTTCTCTCTCTTTGGTGAGTGTACGTGCCTTAAGACAGATGCCTCTTAAAAAAAGCACCAACTTAATTCAGACTCACAGTTTCTCTATTTCATAGTGGGAGAAGTTGTGTTTTGCAGTGTTGATTCGGTATTTTTAAAAACTTTTCTGTCAGTGATTCCTTAGCTGAAAGACACGTGTAACAAAGGGAAGATTGGCTGAGCATGGAATTACTTAGAAGTGGATGCTTTAATTTTAATGCAGACTGAAATGTGCATTTGATTTTAGGAAGATGTTAGAAATTTTCCTGAAACTTCTTTGACAGGACATCACCTAGAGTTTACTGTTGTGATGGTCATTGGCTGCTTTGGAATGTTGGGAGTCCTGTCAGTTGGCAGCCGTTCTTAGCTCTTAAGTCAGAGCGATTATGGCAGGTGATATCTTCTTTCCACACCGGGCACGGCGCATTTCTTTAAATAGCTATTCTGAGGAAATTGTCAGTGGCGCAAGAGGGAATGTGTCAGGGAATCCAGGTGGTAGTCAGAGGCGTCCTAGAGGCAGCAGCAGGCCTTTGGTGAGCACACTGCCTGTGTTTTTCTGACAGCTGGGCTGGACCAGCACCCTGGTGGCCAGAGGTATTTCCGGATACCACTTGCCGATCATGCTAGGTAGCCCAATATTCTGAGGCCCTCTTGTTTTTCTTGTGGCTAGTATATTTGAATGTTTTGACTATTCCCTTTTTTTCTTTTTCTTTTTTTCTGTTTTTTCCTATAGGGCATGTGTGCATGCCAGAGAGAGAGCAGGGCTGGGGATGGGGGTGCAGTGAAAAAATCAACCCTGAGGGGGATGGCCATGCTTCAGTACCCTTCTCCATTCTCCTCTTGGAATCCTGGGCATACACATATGCATGGGTCCAGGACCGTACAGTCAGGTATGTGGGATACAGTGCCTTAACTCCCACGCCGGCTGCTGGCCCCCTCTGCTGCTGTTTAGCAGTTGTTTCTGTGGGACCGTGTCAGAGAGGCGGAGCCTGTGCACTGTAGGGCATCGCGTGTTCCTGGCGCTCCCATCCAGAATCCCAAAAGTGTTGTGCCTCCCTTCTCTTGTTATTTTGAGAATGAAAACATCTGTTGGATGACACACACCTGTGTACATATGAGTGTGACTATAAGAGGATTTCATGGAAATATGGATTAAAGTACAAATTTGTTTTGGTGCAAGATTTTGAAATCCATGTGTGGTTTTCTCATACATTTTGTTTCCTATGAACTTTCTGAGGATCTCTCATAATGTGTGTTGTAGGAGGATGTGGGAAAATTGGAGTTTTGTTGTTACCTGAGTCTGTTCTTCATGATGATGTTATTCCTTGACCTTGCTAAAATACTTAAGGACTTTTTAAATCTCTGAATATCTAATTTTTAAAAAATAGAGTTGAAGAAGGAAGATATTTATGCAGTGGAGATTGTTGGTGGTGCTACACGAATCCCTGCAGTAAAAGAGAAGATCAGCAGATTTTTTGGTAAAGAACTTAGTACAACATTAAATGCTGATGAAGCTGTCACTCGAGGCTGTGCATTACAGGTGAGCTTTCTGTTTCACAGGTAGCTATTTAGAGGTCATTGGCAACAGTGGTTTTTGTAATCGAATTACTTGAGGGTACTTTAGTGATCTCAAAGTAGAAGATTCTGAAATCTTTGTTTTAAAATGGATAGCAAGAGGGACATGTCCATAAAAAGGAATTGTATTTGGTAGCATGTAGTATGACAGATTGAGAAACATGGGTAACTCTAAGCCTGAAATACTTCTAGATGTATCATCTACGTCTGTTTGAGGGAATAGCTGATGGAAAATGGAATTATAAAAAGTATGACTTTATTGTGGTATAAAATAATTTTAAAATCCATGTTTTTTTAAATACATTTTCCATGAATTTTTAAATTAAAAAAAAATTCCATGAATTAAAAAAAATTTTTTTCCTTTAGATTTTTGCCTTAGGGTGTTTGTACTTACTGGGAAGAGACAGAGGGAGACACAGAGATGGGGAAAATGAGAAATCATTCTCTGGGGGGTGGCCATGCAGCAGTCCTTACTCCATTGTCCTCTGGAGATTTGGGGCATGCATACGCATGCACCTGAGTTGATTTTTCAAGCCACCAGGTTTGGGATTCGAACCCCAGAGTTGGCTATATGGGATCCAGTCCCTTAACCACCATGTCACTTGCTGGCCCCGTCACAAACTTTTTTGAAAACCCCCATTATTATCGTATATAAATTAAGTAAGTTTTGGGGGGTGTTAATGGAAAAATGATATAGAATAGCTAGATTATATAGTTTGTCACATGATAGCTTATAAAACTGCTTGTTTAGATATTGTTGAAGAATTAATATAAATCAGTAATGTAAGTACTTTTAAAAAAAAATTTAGTGGTATTAACAGTTCATGATGTCTGTTCTTGTTGAACGAAATTTTAAAAAATTATTATTCTAGTGTGCAATCTTATCGCCTGCTTTCAAAGTCAGAGAATTTTCTATCACTGATGTAGTACCATACCCAATATCTCTGAGGTGGAATTCTCCAGCTGAAGAAGGGTCAAGGTAAGCATTATTAATAATTTTTTATACTTAGAATTAATTAAGTCTGAGTAATATATCGCCCTTTGTTTCAACTTACACATTTGTAACATTTTGTCACAGTGCATGAAGCAAAGTGATTATTTTAATCAGAGTAAATAAATTTGTCTTGTTATTTAGTTTTCTGCACTTGATTCTTCTGAAATCACTGTTGTTAAAACATTTATAATGTGGAGGTAGCGTCTACTGAGAAGAGACAGGATCATATGACAATTGCAGACGTCGAACATGAGTCAATGTTAGGACTGTTGTGCGCCTGGTCATGGTGCTATGAGGGATGGCAGTGTTCTCAGATGGTTGTGGCTGCAGCTACATTGGGACTCGGTCCATTTCAGCAGCCTGGGTTTGATAGCATGTGCTTATAGTCCTAGCTAACTAGGGGGCTGGGTCAGGAGGATCATGACATGAGACCATGTTGAAAATACTGGTATCTCTCTTTCTATTCCCTTCTCTCAAAATTAAAAGAAGTGATAGAAATATCCTGATTTTGTATGTTTTGTATTTTTCTTCCATTCAGTGACTGTGAAGTCTTTTCAAAAAATCATTCTGCTCCTTTCTCAAAAGTCCTCACATTTTATAGAAAGGAACCTTTTACGCTTGAGGCCTATTACAGCTCTCCCCAGGAGTTGCCTTATCCAGATCCTGCTATAGGTAAGTGAAGAGGTGAAGCCTGAGAAATAACAGCAACGGAAGCTTATATTGGAGAACTGGGATAGCAGAAGGAAAAGTGCTATATTCTGAAGTTTCTGTACTTCAGATTACAGAAAAAAAGCCCTTCCAAATCTTGTTACCAGGTTTAGAACCAGTTTTGTTTTTTTGGTAAAGAATTATCTTACTTAACTTTATTTATTTTAATTTGACCAGAGAGGGACAGAGTGAGAGAGAGCGAGAGAGAAAGGAAGCCACCAGGTCTGGGACTAACCATGGTCAGGCATGTGGGAATCTGGCGTCCTTAACCACCATGCCACCCTCCGACCCTAGAACCATTTTTGAAAAAAAAAAAAAATTTTTTTTAGAGGTTTTTGCCTTAGGGCGTGTGTGTTTGCTGAAAGAGACAGTGAGAGAGAGAGTGAGAAATCACCCCCTGGGGGGATGGCCATGCTGCGGTCCCTTCTCCATTCTCCTCCTGGGATCTTGGGCACACAGGTATACCTACGTGCCTGGCGTGATTTTGAAGGCACTGATCTGGTACTCGAACCGTTGTCAGCTGTTTGGGAATCCAGTGATGTAACTGCTGTGCCATCTGTTAGTCCTTAGAACCAGTTTTATGGTTGTTATTTAATTGGATCTTCTGTATTGTGTTTCTCACCTAATGCAGTGTAGTCGATCTTGTGCATAATGTTGTGTAGATACTGTAAAGAGGTAAATTCAGTTCTTAACTGAAGTCGTAATATGTATGTAGAAAATCACAGTACAGAAACACAGTTTATACTTCCCAGAGTTGTGGCATTTAAAAACAGAAAAGCACCCTGGTACAGAACTGGATTTAGAAATGGTAGTTTCTCAATTAACAGTGGAGTGTGGAATCACTGTGCGTGTGTGTTTCCAGTGGAGAACATGATAAATGTCTGTTTTAGGTAGTTTGTTGGTAGTAGCATGTAAAGACGAATAGAAAAAAGGGACTAGAGGAAAGAGGAAAAAAATCAGATATTTGAGCCCTTAATTGGGACAGGATAATAAGAATTTGGCCATAATGTAAAAGAGGAAGGAGAAATCTCTCCTTGTTTAGTAAGATTCTATAAAAAGAGTACTGCTGGCTCATTTGAAGTGCCATATTATTTACTAACCTGTTGCTGACATAATTAGCAGTGTTGCTTGTGTTCATCCTCTTAGGTTATGTGTTCTCTTGTGTTTCTCATATACCCCAGCTCAGTTTTCAGTTCAGAAAGTCACTCCCCAGTCTGACGGCACCAGTTCCAAAGTGAAAGTCAAGGTTCGAGTGAATGTCCATGGCATTTTCAGTGTGTCTAGTGCCTCCCTAGTGGAAGTGCACAAGTCTGAGGAAAACGAGGAACCAATGGAAACGGATCAGAATGCAAAGGAGGAAGAGGTAACGTAGATGCTTTATACCATTTAGGATGGCAAGTGAACTGGGAGGGAGGCAGGGAGGGCATCAGGACAGAGCTGAGCATGGATTTGCCTGTGTGTGTCCCCTTCCTCCAGCAAGGCGGAGCCAGCAGATTTTTACCCAGAATTCGTTCAGAATTGGAACTTAGTTGACTCTTCCCTTCATACTTTGGACTTCTTGGGTTGAGTTATTGATCCTTTCTGATTGTTGAAGAATGCTCCGAGGCTCAGTTGTTTATTTTGGCAAGTAGAATAGGTTATACACTCAGTTTTTGAAGATGCTCACTGGGTCTTGTCTTTGTCGTGCATCAGAATCAAAGGTTTCCAAAACTACAGATGCTTGGGCCTTATCCCCGGAGACTTGGCTGGAGGTCTATCCAAGGTGTCAGTTTTTTTTTTTTATCCAAGGGGTCAGTTTTTTTTTTTTTTTTTTTTTTAATTGCCAGAGGGTGTGTGCGCTTGTCAGAGATTGAGAGAGGGCAAAAGATCGCACACACCTATCTCAAGCAGTTCTTTTTCCTCCATTTCTTTTTTTTTTTAAATAATTATTTTATTTTTATTTATTTATTCATTTATTATTATTATTTTTAATTTGACCAAAGAGAGACAGAGGTTGAGAGTGAGAGAGAGAGGAAGTGAGAAAGCAAGCCACCAGATTCAGGACTTGAACCCTGGTCGGCCATGTGGGAGTGTCCAGCGCCTTAATCATCGCGCCACCTGCTGGTCCTGCCTCCATTTCTTTTCTATAAGAATTTTGGGCATGCATGCACATGTACCTGGCATGTTTTTCAGATCCCTGGAACTGGGCTTTAAGCTAACATGGTCATCAGTGTGGGAGCTGGCTCCCTGTACACAGGACTTAATTATTGGGCTATAGGGCTGGCCCTCATTAGTCCTTTTATTAAAGGCCTTCCAGGTTATTCTAGTGCTGCATGCATTATGAACCACTGGTCCAGGGTCTCTGAACTTCTCCCTTATTTTGGCTCTATACCTTTTTTGTCGTTAAGATAGATTTTGTTGCAGGGCATGTGCACTCGCCTGAGACTCAGAAAAAGGGAAAGTGAGAAATCACCCACCAGGGATGATCTCAGCAATCCCCTTTCCTCTAGTCTCCTCTGGGGACTTTGGGCATGCACCTGTAAGTGCCTGGTATGAGTTTGAAGCTGCCAGGTCTGGTACTCAAACCACAGTCAGCCATGTGGGAGTCTAGTGATACAGTGGTACGCCATCTGCTGGCCCCTTCCCATTGTACGGATGTGTTATCTGAGATCTAGAGGAGAACTTTTGTCTAAGGTCTAGTGATACAGTGTAGCTGGCATTAGAGTTGGGTTTTCTGATCACAGCAGAAATTCCACACCATGCCAGCCTGTCACCATGCCAGCCTGTCAGGAAGGTTGCTTAGTCATTCATTAGTGTTTCCTGACTTTAGGCTTTGATTTGACCTGTTTTTCAGAAGATGCAAGTGGACCAGGAGGAGCCACATGTTGAGGAGCAGCAGCAGCAGACACCAGCAGAAAATAAGACAGAGGCTGAAGAAATGGAGGTATGAGCTGTGTTTTCGAGTAGAATTGACTCTTACTCTGGTTTGATTGAGTTGAGGTTTCTTGGAAGGTAGTGAATAGGGATTCCAAACTTTAAACAGTTTTTAGCAAGATGTTATAGTATGTTGGGGAAGTGCTTTCTGCAAGATGGCCTTTGAGCTCTTCCTGGCTGATATTTGAGAATAAAGCACTGAGCCCTTGTTTTTACTAGGCTGGTGATTAGTTCATGCTCATTTGTGGATGGCTGCTCCTAGTAGTTATTCTACAAATTATTTATTTATTACTGGTAATAATGTGACTTATTTTACTTTTCAGAGTTTTATCAACTCCCTGACCCTTTTATCAAAGTATTATTTAAAATTATTTATAATATATTTTTTGAATAAAATAATTGGCTCCAAAACGAATATTTAGCATTTTTAAATCCTGTACAAATTGTTACTTAATTTTTAATTTTTATGTTTTAGCAGTGAAAACATCTTATGTTTTTAAAAATTATTTCATTGAACTATTATTATTTTCTAGTTTGATCAGAGAGAGGCAGAGAAAGAAAGGAAGCCACCAGGTTTGGGGCTTGAGCTGTGGTTGCCCAGGTTGGAGTCTGGCGCCTTTTATCATACCATGCCAGCTGCTGGCCCCGAAAACATCTTTTCTTTCAATAGTTATATATGGGGCCTGGCAGGTGGTGTGGTATTTAAGGTTCTGTACTCCCACATTGCGAGCTGTGGTTCAAGTTCCGGACCTGATGGCGTCTTTTCTCACTTTTCCTCTCTTTCTTTCTCTCTCTCTCTCTGGTCAAATTAAATATAATAATAATAATGATGATATTAAATAGAATAAATCCCCAGGGACTTAAAACTCAAGCCAGGAGGCCGGCAGTTGGCATGGTGGTTAAGGGTGCTGGACTCCCACATGGCTGACTGCATTGTCAAGTCCCAGACCTGGTGGCTTACTTTCTCACTTTTCCTTTCTATTCCTCTGTCGCTCTGTCCCTCTCTGGTAAAATTAAACATATAAATAAATAAATGAAGTTAAAAACAAAAAATAAACCCCCAAAACTTACACTGGGCACATGTATGTGCATGCCTAAGATCCCCATCCCCATTGATTTCTCATTTTCTGTCTTTTTTTTATTTTTTGAGAATTTTGCTATAGGGTGTATGTGCTCACTGGACAGAGAGGGACAGCCAGAAAGCTAGAAATCACTCTCTGGGGGGCTGGCCATGCCGCAGTCCCTTCTCTTGAGATTTTGGGCATGCATAGAGATTTTGGGCATGCATACACTCGTGCCTAGTGTGACTTTTAATCTACCAGGTCTAGGACTTGAACTGTGGTGTACTATGTGGGAGTCCAGCGAAGTAACCATTATGACATCTGCTGGTCTCCAAAAATCTCTCTCTCTCTTTTAAATATGACTAATTGCTTTCCTGTGTGTTCATGGAAAGTGAGTGAGAAGGGAGAAAGTTCATTCTCTAACCCCCAATTCCTTGGAGCTGTGAAAAGTTTCGGGCTTTTTTACTAGACTTCCTCGGGTGGTGCCGGAACTGAAGTGCCTTTCATATCCTTTCTAAGGGAAATGAAGTACAAATGCACATACATTTTAGAGGCTGACTTGTGGATGGGAGCTGAGAAAATGAAGTGTTTGGCCTTGTATCAGAACAAATAGAATTTAAAAGTTGAATAAAAATAAAACCCAGAAGAACAAAGCTTTTAGTGAATATTTTCTAATTTGTGTATGGGGAAGGCAAAAAGCAATAGAAATAATCACAAAGAAAAGGATAGGTATGTCTGGCAAGAAAACCTGTATAGACACATAAAATGAGAAAAACCTGGAAGAGTTGGTCACTTGGGAAAAAAAGGCACAGAAATTCTAAGAGTAGTGAGTAAAATATGAGTAGGCATTTTGAAGCATAGTATTAGGTGTGGTTTACAAGTGTGTGAAAGTTTTATTTACCCAAGGAATCGAGTGTTAAGATAACAGATGAAGTTAAATGAATTTCCGCTTGCAGACAGGGTGCAGTAGAATGGGCTCTGTTAGTCCTTGTGAGGATGTAAGTAACTAGAAATAAAATTCTAGAAATCACAGTGACAACGTACTGATAGAAAATTTTGATAATCCTCTCTGCACTAGTTTCATATAGGTTTCTATGTTTTAGAGCACAATAGAAGAAAAAATTTAAATAGTGATTACATGTGGATTTTGGGAGGTTATGCATGTACATATGTTTTTTTTGGGAGAGGTTTTTTCGCTATAGGGCACATGCGCTCGCCAGACAGACAGAGAGAGACGTAGAGACAGAAATCAAGCAATCACCCCCCAGGGGGGATGGTCACGCCGCAATCCCTTCTCCATTCTCCTCTTGGGATCTTGGGCACGCACGCACATGCACCCAGCGTGAGTTTTAAGCCACCAGGTCTGGGATGTGAACCGCAGTCGACTATGTGGGAGTCCAGTGACATAGCCATTACGCTAACTGCTGGTTCCCCATATGTTTTTTTTTAACTTTATTTTTAAGAATTATTTATTTTTATTATTTAAAAAATCTGCTCTAGGGCACATGAGCTCACCAGAGAGAGAGAGAGAGAGAGAGAGGAGAAAGAGGGAAAGGGGATGGAGAGAGAGAACGAAAGAGAGAAAGCAAGCTGCAGGATCCAGGAGTCGAACTGTAGTCAGCCATGTGGGAGTCCAGTGCTCTAACCACCACACTACCTGCTGGCCCCTGTGTATATATATATATATATTTTAATTGTGGTAAAATAAATGTAACAAAATACCATCTTAACCATTTTTAAATGTACGGTTCAGTAAATCTAGGTATTGATATATACACATTGTAGTATAACTGCCCACAGCAGGTTTTCATTCCCCGAGACGAGACGGAAACTTTGTACCCTCCTAGCCCTTGGCCATCATAGTGCTTCCTTCTGTGTGAATTTGACTACTTTAGATACCTCATGTCATGTTTATTACATTTTTATTTCCCAGATGTTATGATACTTAAGTACATCACCAGAAAGTAGCTTTAGTAACGGCTTTAGAAAACGGCTTGTGAAATGTGCCCATTTTGAGATTTCAGGTAGTTTGTGTATACGCTTGGTCTGACCAGTTTACATGGATATGTCGACTTCTGTTGTTTTAGACCTCTCAAGCTGGATCAAAAGACAAAAAGATGGACCAACCACCTCAAGCCAAGAAGGCGAAAGTGAAGACCAGCACTGTGGACCTGCCGATTGAGAACCAGCTGTTGTGGCAGATAGACAGAGAGATGCTCAACTTGTACATTGAAAATGAGGTGCTTGTTTTACGTCTCTCAGAACAGCAAGCTGACAAATGAGTGTGGCCATGGTGCTCAGACTGTTTTTAGTGACCTTTGTGCACTTTCAGTGTTGGGGATGTGGGACAGTAATAGATTTGGGGCAACATCTAAGGGCAAGTTTAAGTAGTAGATCTCATGGCATGTCATTATTCTTTTATGGTGTTACAATGAAAAATATGTCTATTGCTAGAAGCTCTATTATGAGATCTTTGACCAGTGTTCTTGGTTTAGGGGAGGCATCATTTATTTTGGGGGCCATGAATTCATTAAAATTGAACCAGTAGTTTCTTAAATTTCTTGGTTTTTGAATAGCTACGTCTTTTTTTTTTTTTTAGTAGCTACATCTTGATATTTCTATTGATCTTTTGTCCTAAGGCCACCCACAGAATACTTAATTCAGTGTTTTCAAGGACCAGTCTTCTAGCTATTCTTTAAAAAAAATTATTTATTATAATTTTTTCCAGTTTTTATGAGAAAGAGCTAGCAGTTGTGAGCCAGCCAGCCACCTGGTCTGGGACTTGAACTGTGGCCGGCCATGCGGGAGTCCAGCACTTTTAACCACCATATCACCTTTTGGCTCCCCCACCTGTCCTTTGTTGGGTGACTCGGAGAACTAAAAGAATCTGGGGAAGAAGCATCCTCTATTTTTATGATTATATTTCTCCATTTAAGAGGAAGTGCTCTCAGTTGTCATCCGTCTAACTTAAACTGTTTGCACTGTTTGCAGGGTAAGATGATCATGCAAGATAAACTGGAGAAGGAGCGGAATGATGCTAAGAACGCAGTGGAAGAGTATGTGTATGAGATGAGAGACAAGCTTGGTGGGGAGTACGAGAAGTTCGTGAGTGAAGATGTAAGTGTGTCTTCAGGAGCTGTGTTGGAAGGGAAATCTGGATCTATAAATTTGTAGTAAAATCATTAGGAATGTACTTTCTTGGAGGGAGAAAGTTTTTTGTAGGTCTTTATTTTTTTATTAGTGTAGTGTTTCCCAAAGGTTAGTCTTTGCACATCAGTTACCTATCTGAGTTCTGTTACTTAGTATTAACACACTTGCTCTTAAATGCAGTTTTCAATTCTAAAATTTTCAAACATACCTAGAATTCCCTAGAACAGACAGAATAATACAGTAAAACTCCCCGTGCTTATCAAACAAAACAGTGTTTCCCCATCTTCCCGTTACCCTGTGTTTGAAGCAGCCCCATAAACCAGCACAGTCTGCCTGTGGCTGCACCACGACCAACCTGACCAGGCTGTGATCTAAGTGCAGTATTTTATTGTCTTTAGGATCGTAATAGTTTTACTTTGAAACTAGAAGATACTGAAAATTGGTTGTATGAAGACGGTGAAGACCAACCAAAGCAAGTTTATGTCGACAAGTTGGCTGAATTAAAAGTAAGTGACTCTTGAAAGCTGAGGTGTCTTGTGACCCAAATTGGAAGGAATTCTTATGTCAGGAAGATGGCCAAAAATGGTGTTGAAAGAGCTATATGCCCTTCGTTATTTAGGCTCATCATTATTTTCACTTTTAGAACCTCATAATGACAAAATAATTTTTCTGAAAAGTGAACATAGTTTTTCATTGAATTGAAGATTTAGCTCATTCTCTGTGTCACTAGAGAAAAAAAAGACTTACAAGATATAGTCACTGCCCTAAAGGCGCCTGCAGTGGATTTGGGGAGGTTTGTGTATTAATAGTTTGTAGAGTCACAGTAACAGCAGAGTTTTGTATTTGAAGAATCTGACTGTTAAACCTTATGGTTAAAGATGCAGGAATTACCTGCAGCTGAGGCACCCTTTCAAGGAGGATGTAAATGCACAGGGATGAGCTTTCCCCGTTTGTCCTTTAGTTATGGCTCTGGACTCCTTAGTTTCTTGGCACCGAGCTGTCTTGACCACCCTCTGGAGTGTAGGTGCTCAAGGACAGGGTCTCAGCTCAGTGTCTCAGCAGGAGAGTCTCCTTGAGGGCCTTCCCATTTTATCTTTTGTTTCCTTTTTTAAATCTGGGAAATGTCAGATACGTGAAAGTAGAGAGACGTTAACCTCCGCTATTGTCAGTTTATGACAGTTTGTTTTATTCGTTAGTTCCTCCTTCTGGTTATTTGAAGGAAATCCCTCATGTATAATCCAGAGAATTTCAGTTTATATTTAAGAGGAAAAGTAACCTTGTGCTTTAGTGTCACCACACCTAATATCACCATAGTATTCAATTTCAGGGTTCCATTTGTTTCATAAATGATTATTTTTTAAATTTAGTTTGAATCAGAATCTAAATGAGATATATACATTTCGATATGTCTCTTTAGTCTTTGCCTGTATTTCTACTCCTTCCTTTCTCCATTTCATTTTTGATTGGATAAAGAAACTAGACCATTTGCTCTGTAAGATTTTCCCCCCAAGTCTGGATTTTGCTGATTTTCTTTTCTTTTTTTTTGGAGAGGTTTTTTTGCTATAGGGCACGTGCGCTTGCCAGAAAGACAGTGAGAGACAGAGAGACAGAAAGTGAGAAATCAACCCCAGGGGGGTAGGCCACGCCGCAATCCCTTCTCTTTCATTCTCTTCTCGGGATCTTGGGCACGCACGCACATGCGCCTGGTGTGAGTTTAAGCCATCAGGTCCGGGACTCGAACTGCGGTTTACTACATGGTAGTCCAGCGACATAGCCATCACACTAACTGCTGGTCCCAAGGATTTTGCTAATTTTAATCTCCATATTAGTATTTAATGTTTCTGATAAATTGATGGTAATACTAGAGGCTTCATTAGATTGAGGATTTTTTTTTAATTACAAAATTTGTTTTTTGTTGTCAGAGGGTGTGAGTGCTCACAAGGGGGAGAGAGTGAGAGAAGGCACGCTCCACTGGGGCATGGTTACTTGACAGTTCCTCGCCTGTGAACTGGTTCAAATGCATGTGGCATTTGACTTTCAGCACACAGTGCTTTAAACTGCTGTGCAGCAGGGCCAGTCTAAAATAACGTTTAAGAAATTTCTGGCAAGTACATTTTATACTTAAACTTATGTATCTATTAGGCACCTAATGTTTGGTTGCCTTTGCACCGTATTTTGAGAATTAGGAGTCGTGACAAAGTGATTCTACGTGGAATGATACTGTGGTATATACTCTCATGCCTAATCAGAGGCAGCCGTGTATTTCCAGTGACTCGGAGAGACTTTTAACTTTCTATATATAGTACGTGAGAATTAAATGTACTTCAATTCTTAGTAAGTCTTAGTAATAGAATAGTACATGCAACTGACAGTTTAAGCTGCCCTGTGAAGAATTTGTGTTTTCTCTCTTCTGTTAAGAATTTAGGTCAGCCTATTAAGATGCGGTTCCAGGAATCTGAGGAAAGACCAAAATTATTCGAAGAACTAGGGAAACAAATCCAACAGTACATGAAAGTAATCAGCTCTTTCAAAAACAAGGTACTTCCCCCCCACTCCCGCTCCCTGCTTTTGCTTTGAGAGAGTTAAATTTTGAGGCATGTACATAACAGTTTTTTTCCTTTTAAAGTTTTATTTAATATTGCTCTTAGTTTGGATGTTAATGTGTAGAATCTCTTTTTAAAAATGAATTATTTAATTAATTAAATTGATTTATTGTTACTTTAATTTGACCAGAGAGAGAGAGGGAAAGTGAGAAATCGGGCTGCCAGGTCTGAGACTTGAACTATGGTGGGAATCCAGCACCTTAACCACCATGCCTCCTGCCAGCCCCAATGTGTAGAATCTTGTTAAGAACCATAGGATTTGTTGCTTCTCTTTAGTAGATGGAATCCGGGGCCAAGCATTGTTCATTTTCTTGTTCTCACTGCGAAGTGCTCCGTCAGTGCTTCGCTTTCCCTGCTCTGTCCTGGTCTTTGTGAGAACCACATTTAGTGTATAATTTGGCTTGTTATGTAGTTGTAGGACTATCTCGACAGTAAATTAAGCATTTTTTTAAAAAAAGAATTGATTTAATTTTATTTATCATTAATCTTACTTTGATCAGAGAGAGACAGGAAAAGTGAGAAAGCAAGCCACTAGGTCTGGGACTTCAACCACAATTGGCCATGTGGGAATCCAGCACTTTAACCACCACACCACCTGCTGGCCCCAAACTAAGAATTTTTAAGCATTGTATGATACACATTCCATAAATACTATGTCATTGGATCCACTTAATACCCTTAAGTAGGTGGTAGTATCAGCATTTATGAAGGGACTTCAAAAGAGTTCATGGAAAATATGTATGAAAAACACTAAACTACATGGCTTTCCAACTTCTTTAAGGCTCATTTTTCTTAAGCAATACCTAAGAATACTAAGTTGGTAGAGCTGAAAATCAGCCTAAAGTCTGACTCCAAAGTTTTGGTTCTAATCACTTTACTAAGTATAGTCAGGATCCCTCTGGGATATGATCAGACTGCAGTCCCTTTTTCTCTACTTCTCCCTTGGAGCTTTGGGCTTGCGCACATACATGCCTGATATGTCTCTCAAGCTGCCAGTTCTGACTTGAACCTTATGGTCAGCCAGGTCAGTTGCTTTAACCACCAGGCCACAGACTGGACCAGTCTTAAGATTTTGTATAAAACATTTTGTTCATCTGTTTATATTGTTGAATCCTCATAATTGCCATCTTCTGTATTATCTTGGCTTTTTAAAAAGTTTTTGTAGTGATTTAAAAATTGGGGTTATGTTTCCTTTTTTTTTGAATATTTAATAACTTTAGATCTTGAGGCTCAGTCTTTACTTTTGAAAGATACCTTTTTTGAAAGAGGGAGAATATTTGGGAAAGGGAGGGTTACCCTTTGACACATGTCTTGATTTCCTGCTGGTTCCAGGAGGATCAGTATGACCATCTGGATGCTGCTGACATGATGAAGGTAGAAAAAAGCACGAATGAAGCGATGGAGTGGATGAATAATAAGTTGAATCTGCAGAACAAGCAGAGTCTGACTATGGATCCTGTTGTCAAGACGAAAGAGATTGAAGCTAAAATTAAGGTAATTTATAGCTTTAAGTATTTAATAGTCTCTTTTTGTCAGCCCCCTTATCAATTGTCCTCTGTGACATTTTGGAAAGAATTCCAACTATTAGATCTTTAGTTTCTGGGTTGGGGACTAGGTGGTTGTGAGTGAAATTCAGTTGGGTGTGTCATATAAAATGTGACAGTCCATAAGAAATCAGAATTTTCTTTTTTACCTTTCTAGGAGCTGACGAGTATTTGCAACCCTATAATTTCAAAGCCCAAACCCAAAGTGGAACCTCCTAAAGAAGAACAAAAAAATGCAGAGCAGAATGGACCAGTGGATGGACAAGGAGACAGTCCAGGCCCCCAGGCTGCCGAGCAGGGCACAGATTCAGCTGTGCCTTCAGATTCAGACAAGAAGCTTCCCGAAATGGACATTGATTGATTTCAACACTTGTTTATATTAAAACAGACTATTATAAAGCTTTAAGTTGTCAACTTTGTTCTAAATATCAACTAGAACAAGTGAATACTGAAGATTTCTTAGTCAGTTTTTAGGGGGGATTTTGGGGGTGGGGTTATAGGTAATGTATGGAGCATTTTGACTTCTAAATAGCTAGGTACAGAAATTAAGTGCATTGTATCTCTTTCATGATGGTACTATTTAGAAGCCCAGTTAGTCTTACTGAGCTTAGGTTTCACTCCTTTTATGTTTAATCATGCTTCTACCAGAATAAGTTTGTTTTGGAAAGTTGAGCTATAACAAAAGCTATAAACTAGCTATCAAGCAGACTTCATTATGACATAAGTGGCAGGAGCTTTAATTATGTTTCAAAAATCTGTCGTCGATATTGCCACAAGGCTTCCTGCCAGGCGTGGGCATGGATGTGGATGTGGGGACTGGGTCTCCATATATTTCTGAGGGCTAGAGCATGGCATGGCATGGATTACCATAGCAGAGCCCCGAAGGCATGCTCTGAGCTTCACACTTCACCTCCACTCCCTCCCTACCCTCTCCTCTGCCCTCTGCGAATTAAAGAGCTCCTCAGTATAAATGCCATGTGCTGTTCTTGGGAAGGTAGACTCCCTCGCCTGGAGGGAGTTGTTAACGGAGGATTTTATACCTGGAGACTTTTCCTGGGAAGTATGTTCATTAATCACCTGAGCATCACAGTCTAGTTTCTCTTCAGGACCTTCAAGTTGGGTAAATGGACTGTTGGATTACAGGCATGGTAAATGGAACTGAGGGACTAACCCTTGTTAATCATGGTGTAAAGACTGGAGTCCTGGTGTGCAGGTGGTAGATGTTCTGTGTAAATTGGAGGTATAGCTAAACTCCCAGGACAGGATTTAAAAGTTCTTTTTCGCTCATTCACAGTCACATATATGTTAAGTGTTAGTATCTGTCACGAATCTGCCAATTTGTACATTAAACAGGTGACAGATGATATAAAAGCTGGAAATAACGCTGGATTGTACCGGATGAGCCTAAGATAAGTGTTATGCAGGTGTGGTGCCTGATGTGTACAGCAACGCCTTGTTCTTCACCTTGTGGCCAATGCCAGGTGCACCAAAGCATTTCTCTGCTGCCTTCTGGGGCAGTGTTGATAGGAGCGAAATGTTTTAGAAACTCCGAGGGAAACCCATATTTGAGGCGAGAGCTGGTTACCTGCCTTAGAAACTGTTGAAAACTTTAGTCAGTTTCACTTTGGATCTTTGTAATACTTGATATTCTGGGTAAACAGTGTGTGCCTGTTAATTTTGGCCCCTGTTCTTAAAATAAGATCATACCTTGCATAGTTAGAAGTTTCTGTGCAGAGATGCGCTGAGAAGTGTTAGAACGTTACAAGCTCAACAGTGCAATCGATTGCTTAGGAGGCTGGGGAGTGTATTTATGTTGGTGCACAAGGATGTGTGGAAGTCTTGTGGCGCTAGGGCGTGGGCCTTGTTCTCAGTGCAGCTCTTCATTCTGTCAGGCCTCCAGAGTTCCAGTGGGCCTACTGTGAGGCCAGTAGCTACTTCGAAGTGCTGGCTGCAGGATAAAGCCGACTCCTAGGCAGCTGACTCAGCCCTTGATGGCCATTTCTCCTACAAGGTTTTTTGTTTGTTTGTTTGTGTGTGGGGGAAGGGTTTGGGTATTGGAATGGGGGTGAATTTGAAAGTTAAAGTTAAAACTAGAAATGAGATGATGTCTGCTTGCTGTCTGTTTAAGACCGGCTTTAAGACCAATTGGATTTATGTGGAAGCCAGGCCGGACGGAGAGTGATAATTGATGACTCGAGTGCAGACAAGCATTTATCCAGGTTGCATTATCCAAATTGGTTTGTTAAAGCTCCAGATCACATTCTTACACTAAGAAAAACATTCAGTAAACATGAGACAAGTTTAGGAAAAACTAATAAAAGAAACCTGTCAAACCACTCAGGAATGGTTTCCTTAATTTCATAATGAAAGCTGTCGTGCATGTTTGTGCATGTGTGTGTTTGTGTTTTCAGCGAAAACTTTTCTCTAGGAGTAGGTGCACTCTATGGTTGGATTCCAGTGAACATCCTTGGAGACTGCCATCCGAAGAACAGCAGTGGAGTTGATGCCCACTGGATGCCAAGTAGTTTGGTTTTCTGGACTCATTCTCCCGAGTTGTCTCAGATCTCTGATACAGGAATCCTCATCTTGCTCTGTAACTGGGCCTAACTTTGACAGTTTAGACAACATCAGAAGGTGGGTTGTGGGCCCATAAGTGCCAAGACCAATAAGGTGTCTGAAGAGCAGGACATGGCCCAGAGCGTGTTAGTAGTTGTCACCACCAGACCCATGGTGCAAGGTACACAGGATGTGCGTGTGGTTGTCTGTGGGGTGGTGATGGGTGTTGAAAGGGGGTCAAGTCATCCAAGGAGATTATAACTGCACAAGGTATGGGGCCTTGTTGGTGGAGTCAAGCCACTTACACACTGGTCCTCTGTGCTAGGTGCAGCTCACCTGCCAGGGTCTGCCCACAGGCCATGCTCTAGCCACGTGTCTTCAACTGTAGTTTAGTTTTCTCCTGAGTCTTTGTCCTTTGGAGAAGAGTGAGCATCATGTCTCCATAAATAAGGTAGCTGAGTGTGAAGCCTAGGACCAGCCAGGGCATAGCTAGGAGTATTGAATCACAGAGTAACAGCATTTACCTAGCAGGGGTACCAGTGCCCTGCTGTGGACAGGTGTTGGGGGCAAAGCCAGGTCTGACGTGAAGGGAGTCTGGGTCAGTGTATGTCAAGAACATACCCCGAGAGCTTCCATGGAATGAAGTGGGGATTGACAAACGGGCAGTGGCTGTTGCGGGGGCAGTCATTAGAGGCAGAAGAGGGCTAAGTGGGTCTCTAAGACACAGGCCTCTGAAAATTTAACCTGACGTTGGGATGTTTAGCATGATTCAAGATGTGTGCAGAACATTTCAGGCCAGCGGACAGTTGGAGGGAGTGGGGCTTTAATAATAACCCACTTTCGAGGGGATGAGCTGAATGGAGGGAGAAAGGCTGGTCTTGGAACCTAGTGTGAGAGGGAAGACGGAAGCATGGCTCCAGCTCACACTCGAGTCTGAAGTTGGGATGATAGGTAGCCTCGGTAGTGACAGCAGTGGCTGTTTTTTGACCCGGCATTTGATAGTACGCTCACTAGTACCCTCTCTGTTTCAATAGTTTTCTTTCTCAGTGGCTTTGAACAGAAGGGTGTCTAAGGTTTTTTTTTTTACCTAAGCTGCAAAACTGCAGTCTCCCATGTTTGGAAAAAATGTAAGATACATAGGCGTAAAACATGGAGGAATATTTCCAAATGAAATATTTCCTTTTCAGGGGATGATTGTGGCTGATTTATTTTTGTACATCTTTGCTTTTTTTTTTTTTTTTTAAGAATTACTTTATTACTTTTAATATGACCAGAGAGAGAAAGGGAAAGTGAGAAAGCAAGCCACCAGGTCCAGGACTCGAACTGGTCAGCCACGTAGGAGTCACCTGCTCTCCCTATGTTTTTTAGTAATCATTTAGGAATTTTATTTTACTTTTTTAAAGAATTATTTTATTTAGCTTTATTCATTCATTTATTTCATTTTTTTTTATTTGACCAGAGAGGGGGACAGAGCGAGAGAGAGAGAGGGAAAGTGAGAGAGCAAGCCTCCAGGTCCAGTACTTGAACTGTGGTCGGCCATGTGGGAGTCCAGCGTCCCCAACCACCATGCCACCTGCCAGCCCCATTTAGGAATTTTATAATGTTAGAAAAATTACAAGTATTTGTAAAAGAGTGGTTCCATATTTCAAACCTGGAATGAAAGATGTGATTGGAGATGGGGAGTTTTGAGTGACTGGAGAAGTTGGAGGTAATTTGGGTAAGATTGAGAAGTTGAGCAGGGTGCAGGTGAGGTCCAAGCTTCAGGTGTGTGTGGAGGGCTTCCGGGCTGCAGATGTGCTCCTGGTTTAGGGAGTGATGGGTCCTGTTTGGATGTGTCAAGGAGAAGATGTGGACGTGATGAAAAGAGCTTCTATAAAGGAACGATGAAACATAATGCATATTTGGAGGAGGGGAATGTGGAACGTAAGAAGGTTCCTGGCCAACAAGCAGGGTTAGAAACTGTAGGTGCTTTAGGAGAGTGGGAGTGGGTGAGGCTAAGGGGTTCCAGGTGGGTCCTGGCTGAGCACTGGTCAGGGAAATTGACCTGGCTGGAATGGGCTCAGTCTGGGGAGAAAGGGGGTTGGGTAGTGCACAGTCTGGTGTGTAAACGGGATGGTTCCCCCTTGTCTCCGCCTGGGGCAACTCTGGGGTGCGACCCTCAACCTGGAAGGCTGATGTCCTTAGAAACTGCTGCTGCTGTTTGGAGCAGTGCTGTGAGAAGCATAGGAGTGAAGGAGTGAGCTCTTGAGCAAAATACCTGGGAGGATAAAAGGATATACATTTCTCACCTCAGAAAAGGTGAAAAAATACAGAACACCTTCCAGATAACACTCAATACCTATCCTTGGGCAAGTGCCGGGCCAATCTTGATCTTGTCACTCCAGTTTTGGGACATCTTGCCAGGGCAAGGAGAACAGGGAGAATATTCACTCCCAACCCTGGGATTTTGCAGGTCAAGCACAACACAGAAAACAATAGAAGACTTTTAGTCTTGGACCCTTTTCCGCAGTTGGGTCTTGGGCTTGCATTCTTTGAGGATCTCGTGGGTTGTTAGATTTGGATTCTTGGATCAGTGGCAGGAGAGAGCACTAAAACTTACCACAAGTTAGCAGACACTTGCTCATCACACCCTGGAGGTCTTATGTCTCTTTTTTTGCATGAATTTTAAAACTTAAAAGTCAGGTCCCACAGTGCAGTACTTAAGCACTACATTGGGGGTCAGGTCCTATACGGCCAACTGCCCAGCCCTAGAGGCTTGAAAAATACACTGGGGAAGTGCGCGTGTGCTCAAAATCTCAATGAGGAGGAGTGGAGGGAAAAAATCTTGTGACCATACCCTGTTGGGGGGTGCTTTGTCTCTGGCAAGTGCATGTGCCCCCACAATTAAAAAGAATTTAACAAACTTGCTTTGAAATATACTGGCTTATTAAGATTAGATTTTTTTTTTTTTTTGGGGGGGGAGAGGTTTTTGCTATAGGGCACATGCTCTTGCCAAATGGCAGAGACAGACAGCGAGAAATCATCCCCCGGGGGGTGGCCACTCTGCAATCCCTTCTCCATTCTCCTCTCGGGATCTTGGACACGTGCACACACACACGCCCGGCATGAGTTTAAACCACCGGGTCTGGGACTTGAACCGCAGTTGACTACATGGGAGTCCAGCGACATAGCCATTATGCCATCTGCTGGTCCTGGGATTAGATTGTTAAGAAAGAGAAAGCTGGAAATACCTGGGAAGTCCGTCTCCTGGGCTCGGCTTCCCAGGAGCGTTTCCGAGGTTGAGCTGGATCGATAGATGTTCCAGGAAAGGATGGTCCCAGTGATCCGGTATCTTTCAGCAGTGCCAGTGGGGAGGTTTAGGACGCATGTGAAGTTTCCATGAGGACCAGGTGAGCTGCAGAGCTGGGACAGGAGTTGAGAAGGCAGTGCAGTGGTAAGGGGAAGCCCCAGGCTGCGCAAAGGGCGTTAGCTGGTCCTGTCCTTGCCTAGTCTGTCCCACAGTTGGAGGGTAACTGGACTCGTTTACAACAGCCTCCCTGCAGCCCGACATGCAACTCGGATGGGGTGGAGAAGGTGCTCAACTCAGTGAATACTTAATACAGAAATGCAATATTTCAGTGAAGGAAAACCGGAACTCTTGGTCTACCCACCACTTTATGAGGGAAAGACTGAAGCAGGCGAATTTCAGAGTGGAAGATGGCAGAGCCCGAACTCTGAAGACAACTCTTTCGGGAGTGTTCACCTGGAAAGCTGAGTGGCTACAGTATGAGACTTCGCTGAAATCTTGCCCTGGAGAGAGCATTACTGGATAGCACTCTCCCTGACGGCTCCCTCATTTGGTCCTAAGTGAGCAGCAGTGTTGCTGCCACGTGGGGGCGCCGTCGCTCTTCCCTTGCCTTGGTAACCGGCCTGCAGGTCAGAATGGGCACTTGAGTTATTCCAGGCTTCTGAAGAATGCAGACAGCCACCTTCTCTCCTTCAGGTGGGGAAAATGAAAATAGTTATGGTTTAACAGAGGCCTTAGCCTAGAAAGCAGGGACTCAGGCTAGACTGTATAGGTTTTTGCTACTGACCCCTTAGATATTTACCTCCCCAAGTGCAAATGACTGGCCTAAGACAAGGATCTTGAACTGACCCTAAGACCTCAGGTAGATACTCAGGCCAGACCTTCTCAGACTCACCTGGGGGACTTGTTAAAATCCAGGTGGCGTGGTGGTTAAGGATGCTGGATTCCCACATGGTCAACCACGGTTCAAGTCCCGGGCTTTCTCACTTTCTCTCTCTCTGGTAAAATTAAAAATAAGTAAATAAATAAATAAATAAAGCTAAATAAAATAATTATTTAAAAGCATGCAGGTCCCAATTCAGCACGTCAGAGTGGGGCAAAGTAATTTCTGGGGTCAGTTTGGTGGAGTTCAGGTGCTGCTCAGCCGCTGGATCTCTGTGGAAGACCATGGGTTTGGTTCACCAGGAGCCTGTGTGTGCTGGGCACCAGCGCCCATGATCCTGGCTGGCTGGGAAGCCTGGGCATGGATTATAGTGAGATCCTGTCGAGGGTGTTTGTCTTTATCTCTCATGAAATACATTTTTTTAAAAAGGGCACAATTCTAACAAGCTCCCAGGTGATTCTGATCATAGACTGCATTTTGACTAGGCAAGACTTAACTCTAGGCGTCCCAGCTTCTTCGTGTGGAAAAGTGAGGTACCCCCCATCCTGTTCGTGACAAGAGATGACGATGTGGGAGGCAAACTGGAAGGATGAGGCATTGTCAACGCCCGC